GGGGGGGGGGGTAGGGGTAGTGAGTCCTTGGGGGTATCTGTCTGGAGATGTGGCAGTGTGGAGGGTGAAAAATATCCTGGCCATGATTGGGGAGGTAGGAAGATTGCTGCCCTGGGGTTTTCCTAGCCCCAGGAGTGTGTTCTGAACATGTGCAGATGTTCACTAGGTCAGGCTAACCCATTCACCATCTAATTTAGCTCACCTCCTTAGCTGAGCTAATGTAGATCAGGCTGACCATTTTTTGCCCAATTTAGCCTATCTGTATGTTTGACAGATTAGCACTTAGATTGACTTAACCCTAGCTAGATTGATCTAAATGTATAGAGTGTCTGCACTCTATACCAGTGGTGCTAAACTAGGGTGTTGGGGTGCTGCAAGATCCTTTGAAAGATGATTTGAGGCGTGATGAGATAAACCAGTTGTGAAGAGATAAGCAGATAAGTGCAGGCCTAGTTCCCTGCCTAGCTTCTCTGCAAAAACTCAGCACTGTAAATAAATAGGTTAATTTTTCAATTAGATTCAATTTCATTTTCTTTTTTGTCTCTCCTTCACCTAAGGGTGCAGGTAGGAGTCTAGCCAGATGACCACTAACTTCAAACCCAAGTTTTTAAGTGTAGCCAGTACACTAAGGCTTAATTATTTGGTTGATAAGTTATCTTGGAACAAAGATAAACTGCCTAAAATATCAAGTACTACATTTTATTAAAAAAATTATTTTAAAATTAATGTTAACTCAAACCAATTAACCATTTAACCTGCAGTTCTTTAAAAAGTTGTTTTCTATGAACAGTAATTGCTATAATTTAAGAAAGGTTTTCAAAATTTCATTTTAAAATCTCTCTCTGTATCTGGGTATATTTCTTTTTTTAGGAGCATATTTACAAACTGATGAAAAGTGATTCCTATCCTCGTTTTATACGATCCAGTGCCTACCAGGAGCTGCTACAGGCCAAGAAAAAGGTATTGGTGCACCTTGTCTTTGTACTGCCACTGCGCAAAGTGGTGCTTATGTTTGTTACAATACTTGGTCTTCTCTCTCCCATGGCAGTACACCTGGATATCTGGTAGGTGACTAGGCTGGTTTATTTGGAGGTCACATGCATACAGTAGTTCCAGATATATACATGTGTATATCTCCTGCATGTGTGCATGTTTTAATAAGTTAAATAGAAGACCTGTTTTTATTTTTACACATAGCCCTGCTCTTTCTGTTGCCAAGCAATTTAAATTGAAAGGTATTTTTATAAATACATTAAAAAAAAAAAATAAGACCTCAACAGAGCAATCTTTTATATTTCCAAGGTTATGTAATAATTGCCTTTTTCTTTATTTTAATTTCCAAAGCCACTACATTTGTTGCCAAGTGATCTTAATTTCAATCAATCTCTTTTTTCCACTTCTTTACATGAGTCATTTTATTTAGGCTAGAAATCTAAAAAGAAAATCAGATTATGCCACATTCCTTCTGAAAAAGATTTATATCCCTCTGTGTGACCTTCATTTTACAGGCCCAGAACATGCAGTAAGTTCTGCACAGGCATGTCTCTAATAGTGCACCTGCAAGGTTGGTCCTAACTATTAAAATGTGAGGCATTTTGAAACCATTCAAATTTCAATAACAATTTTTTTTTGTTTTTTTAGTGGACCTGATTCTTCCACTCAGTGAACGATGAATTCTAATTGTTATTACTAAGGAGCTCAGTGTTTCCAAAATCTGGCCCATTATTATTACTAGAACTAATATAATAGCTATGAACTCCAGAATCCCATGCTGTGCAAAACAACAGCCTGAGAATTATGTGGAAATACTGTATGATGTTTTTCAAATATTGATGTCAAAACTCTCTATAATATGGAGAGAAATACTGAAAAATGCCAAAGAGCTACTACTGTATATATGTAGTCCTTAAATTTTGCAAATGTTGGTTCATTAACCCAAGTTGTGGGCTTCATTATTTTTTTTCTTATTTTCAGTTTTATTTTTAACTCAAACCAGTTTGGTCCCCCTGAGAATTTTTTGTTCTTTTTGTTAAATCAAGTACTCTAACTGCTTTACCCATCTGCTGTTATACAAGTTGGCATTCATTAGCAACTTCATATCTACTTTTGCTTCTTGATTTGTACATGAGCTTTGTTTTGCAGTCCATTGTTTCATCATTCCTTCTTTTCTGCTTTATTTTTTTCTGGCCTTTCTTTTTATTTTTTTTTCTTTCATTTTTTCCCTTTTTTTTTCTTTCCCCCTCCCTATTTTTAAATTTAAGTTGGATCACACACTGGATCGTCGAACATCTTTTGAGAAATTCACACGCAATGTGGTAAGTTTATTGGCTTAGAAGAATAACATGCCTGGTGAAACACCCTTGTCCCTTCATCACCCAGTTCCTTCACCTTTTCTTTTCTGGGACAGCAGAAAAAGCTGTTGCCGTCATGCAAGTTCACAACTTTACATAGACATGACAGCTTTATACTAAGCATTCTTTACACCCTCCCTATCCTTTTGCTGACTGACCTCAGAAAAAATGTCAAGCTATTACTGTTGCCATAAAAGAAGGAATGGACCTATGAAAGCCATGCTGTTTGCACTAAGAAGCATGAACTTCACCCTAGAATATGGAGTTAATTCACTCTGTGTGTACATGTTTTGTTTTGTTTTGGTTTTTTTTAATTAAACTAAGGGGACCTGTGAAAACCTGTTTGATATTGTTCCTTTCCTAGTGCATCCCCAAATGACGTTTGTATTTTTAACACTGGATTTCTTTCCTTTTGTCTTTGCTATCTTTTCCAAGAAAGGCTCTTGTCCATTTTCATAATGGGTCACAGGGAGAAAATAACTCATAACAAATACCCCCAACTTCTCTCAAGTCTAGTCTATCTTCTCAGAAGCAAATGTGCCTGCTAAGTAGCTGATGCTTATGATTGTACAACAATTTTGTTTGGATGTCATTAAGGGGACGTAAAAGCAGTCAACATTCCTGTCTACATTCTTTGATTATGCTCTTTTTCTTCTTCATTGAAAAGTAAGAACTTATTTTTCAAAGATGTTGCACTAAGGTAAAAATGGACATTGGTGTCAACACTTCCTCACCACCAGATGTGAGTTCCACTGCTGTCCTCTCTTATGGGATTCTTTTTATTTCTATCTCTCCAGTGTCTTTGGATCTTTTTTGACATTGTGCAAGTTCAAACTAAAGCATTCAACACATTTATTTTTATAGGGCAGAAACATCCCTATTTTCCCATGCCATAAAAACTGTACACCAACACTGAGGGCGAGCACTAACCTGTTATGAAAAGAGGTAGAAAGATCTTGGATTCTACTCAAGTTTGTCTGCATCGTCTTTTGAATTGTGCAGTTCATGCTGCTCTGTGTATGTG